CTTCCACTTCTTCGGCGGTCTTGGAGTCCACCAAGGTCTCGATAACGTTGGAGTGTGCGATACACGACGCTGCGGTGGATGCCGAGGTGCTTAGCGATCGTGGCGGGTGGGCGGCCGGCTTTGTGCAGACGAACGATAGCGGAACGATCAGGAGAAGGCTTCACCATTTCACTATGAATGGACCAAATTTAACCAAATTTTAACAGGAGTTAGAAAAAATGATGAGATTGAAAAATCCATAAAACTGGCGCGCTATGTGCGCGATAGAATGTACGCTAACTGCAGCAAGTCTTGTCGCTATAATTATGGCCAACCCTGTACATCTTGTCCCATGCCCTACTCATCCCGACCTTGACCCCACCTCTCCACTATTCAGCGCTGTCCTGCCCATTTGGCCTCGGCGCCAAAAATAAGGGTCAATATTGTGATCAGGGTTATCAATTACCCCAGCATGTGAAGTTGCAGCAAAAAAATTTCTCGTGTTCTTCTGGTCCTAATTGATCGATCGTATGGATGGCAGCGACACCCCAACTTTCTCATCTCCATCACCGTGTTGGTCAGAGACGAGACCAACGGTCACGAATTTCCACCACAAAATGCCACGTTTAGAAAATGCCGTTGCCGTTGAAAATGCAAAATGCGTTAACTCCAGAGCACTGGACGAGCATCCTGAATCTATTTCGACTTTAACCGTCTAGTCTTTTATCAAAGACCTCGTTACCCCCCGCCGGGAGAGAATGAATTTGTTTTTCTCGGTATTTACAGGTGCAAATGGGTTTGCATTTGGATTTTGACATGGAACATGGCTATACACTCTCAACACTACAGCTAAAAAGGAGTTGAACAAAGTGGTTGGAATTGCCCTTTCTTGTCGAATTTTTTTCGCTCTTTCTGGCATACCCAATAACGTTTAGCAAAAATGAACCCCATCTGTGTGGCCATGCATGGACCCCTACATCATGCAACAAACCGCTTCCAAAAAGTCCACCATGACCTGAACGACCTGCTTAGTTAGTTCCCTTGGGCAGAGAAAGTTGAATCCGGAGTAAATCTGAACAGTACAAGCGCAGCATGAGCTAGGCAGGGTATTCCAGTAATGGTTTCAAAGCGAGTGCCACGATGTCACAGGTGGAAAAGATCACGGACCTCAAGCCCATTTGTGTCATATTGCTTTGCGCTGGTCAATGGCATGTTAGCTAGAAACTGAGGAAGTGAAAAAAGAGAGGCTTGCTGAGTCGCTCATACCTTCAATATGTACTTCAGTCAGTAGAACTCGATACGTGCTTTTTCATATTGTATTATCGGCCTCACGGGATGAACCGACTGCGTGGCTATAATTCGGTGAACGAGTGAATTTGCAACATCTGTTTTGAAGTGATTACATTTGGCATGCTTTAATAACTATAAATGGTTAACGTCGAAGCCAGGCTATAATCAAGCTACAGCCCCGTTTCTCAGCAGACAAACAGATACTTGTGACCTAAACTGGTTCGAAGCATTCAAAACCTTTTGAGATTCACCTGGCACTGGAATGGAAAAGATTAATGTCATTCATGTAAAACCTCTGAATATCATCGGATCTTCCTAACAATTAAGGGTATTCCTAGTAGAACAAGAGCAGACGGAACCCTGACCTCCTCGAATGCGCGGTAGTTGCGCATTGAAGGCCTGTTAGACACATACACACTATCACATTTACCCACCTGCGCTCTTCCTCTTTTTTCCTGATAGATGCAATCAGGGAAGTCTCATGTTCTAGTAAAGGGAACGCGGTGAGGGGCGCTCCTCGCAACGTGCACAAAAATGCACGCGAGAGGTGAGCTACTTCGAGCAACCTACTTCTCTACGAACGCCTTCCTGATCCTTTCGCCTTCTGCAACTGATCGATGAAAGATATACGCGGTAGGACATGAACAAGACTGATGGGAAACAAGAGGTGATATCGATTGATAAGAGCTGATAAGGGATTGCTGGGACCGAAGCATCACCGAAGTCATAGCGCGTGTCGCAGCAACAGTGTGAGCGTGATTCCACCAAATGATATAGTGGTAGGATGTGGTAGGATATTATTTATGGCTGTTAGGATACGATAAGAGTTGATAAAAATTGATAAGTGGCTTCATAATGGGAGGGCTGGCAAATAAAGAGCGTTACATGCGCCACAGCAACAATGGGAGCGTGGTTTTAGCAAGTAGTGTATGGGGTGGGACGAGAAAATTATTGGTGGGTGACAGGAAATGATAACAATTCATTAGTCACAGGTAACGTAATTGCATTGGTCATAGCTAACGATGAAACGTGAGGCAATACGATCACCGACAGGGGCTGATAAGAGTCAGTCTCTGCACAGCTCCTGTCCTCTCCTTACTACTGAACTGCGACCACTGTGACCCAAGTATCGAAGAGCAAAAGGTCAGTAACTGAGCACGTTTCGCTTTTTTCCGATAGAATAACAGTCGATTCAACCGCTAAGCTGTCATATGCCGACGAAAAGTAGAATCTTAGAATCTAAGTGATATTAGCCAGTAGAAGCGATAAGATTCCATAACAAATGACTGTGTGGAAAATGCTTTGTAGACGTTGCGAAGGCTTTATTTTATTAGCACCGGGCAGTCCATCGTAATACGCACAAATAGGGAAAGAAAGGTAGCATCTCCAAAATGCAAACTCTGCCATATCTTCTGTGCCGTTGTAGGGGTCGGTATAGATACAGTGTCAGTCTATAGGTGGACTCCAGGTGATGCACGCAGTGGTACGCATCAGCCGAAATAATACTCTTAATAAATATAGAAGGTTGAATGTAAGTTAGAGAAAGTCACGATCAATCATGTGGAGAATGAGATCAGAACAGATATACCTGTATGTGACAAAAGTTCCAGCAGTAATAAACTGGAGGCAGGTAAAGCTCGCAAGAAATAGATTTTCTAATAGCCAGTTTGGGTAACGAACCTCATTGCACAAACCCCGATCGGATACCTGTACTACAAACATTTGCTCGACCTTCCTTCTTCGAACATGGTCCTATACCGCCAGTTTAGTCCAAAGAATCAGTCCATGATAACAGGATAAACGGAATTTCCTTCACCTTTTCAGTAGTTGATCCGCAGCTGCAGAACGTGTCGCTTCCAACTACTGAAACGCAACGTGAAAGGTTTAGGAATGCGTGGCTTATTCTTTAACAGATCTTCGCAACCTAAACGGACTTACCCGAGCACGACTACATGGCGCGGTCAGTGACCTCCTGTTAACTTCAGTGTCCTGAGCGGCTTCAGTGTTCCTCGCGTATTCTGCTGATTGCGGTCGTGCTTGCAGTTCTTTCTAGTTTTCTCGAATACCTTTATAATAGATGGCATTTTTCACGGTGCATATGAAAAAAGCGTAAGTTGTGTCTTTAAGATTTGTTGTTTTTCGGCCTCTTCAGTCACTGAGTGTTTATTTTCTCTTTTCAAGCATTTTTTCCGAGAATCTGAATACATGGGAAAGAACAGCGCTAAGAATATCCACTGCTGCGAGCTGAGTTATTTTCCCACTGATATTAAATTTTTAATTTACGGCCTGTGTCCATCAATTGCGCTGTGGCGCGTTTGCCGAAACTCCTTCAAGTGGAGCAACTTTTCTAAGGAAGTCATACATTTTATATAAGAAGATCGTTGGGAAAAAGAAGATCGCAGTTTTAGAGCACTACATTACTACTTCCCTACTATTGCTGAAATGCACATAAACATGGTCTGATCTTGAGAGATATGCAGTGCTGAGATTTCGTCAGATGATTTTCAGCATCATAAGGGACTTTTTGGCTTGAACGACGGTAATTTTCTTCCAATGCTACTGTTTACAAATTTAAAGGCAATTAGCACGATAATTTATACTCAGCCTAAAATGTCAGCAGGGCCCTATATAGTGGGGAAAATGGTGAAAAAAACGAACGAACGATAGTTCAAAAAGCTGCGAAGAAAAGACTTCGTTCTTCATGATTAAAAGAGCAGTTTTAGACGATTTTCCCGCAGGGTATTCTTCTTCTTATTCTTCAGCTTTGTCCTGCTCTGTGGAAGGTTCGCTCTTCTGATTTTGGTACGCCATTTCTCCCGGTCGAATACTTGATCAAGGGGGCACCAACTATCCGAGACCTCGAGCTGGAGACAGGTCTTGCAGACGCTGTCCGTATTCGCGCGGACGTACGTACGTGGCCATACCATCGGAGACGAGATTCTCGCATTTTATCAGCTATGGAAGCTACGCCGAATTTCTTGCGTATGTCATCGTTGCAAATCCGATCCATACGCGTGACACCGGCCGTCCAGCGAAGCATTTTCATCTCCATCACACTAAGGCGGGCTTCGACTTCTTTGGTTGCAGGCCAGCACTCAGCCCGTACGCTACTGGTCTGATCACGGTTCTATAGATCTTCGATTTGAGGCGCTCTGGTATGGTCTTGTCACAGAGAACTCCAGTCATCGAGCGCCATTTCGCCCATGCTGCACTCACGCGAGAGTTTACCTCTGAGGTCAGACTGCCATCGAAGGCAATTTCTGATCCAAGATACTTGAAGGCTCTTGTGCGTGTGAGCTCGATGCCACTGATCCTAATGGAATCGGACTCATTTGTATCGGTCGTCAAGTACTCGGTTTTCTTGATGTTCAACTTCAGTCCGAATTTTGTCAGGCGATCAGACCAAGCTTGCACCTGCTGCTCGAGTTCGTTCTTATCTTCACTGGCCAGCACCACA